TAGAACGTACATTTTCTGGGCTAAAATTTATATGTAGTGACCTAAGATCATCATTATCATCTGATTTGCTCAACGAAATCATGATCATAAGAGCAAATAAGATGGGAATGGAAATTTAATATGTATTTTMACTTTTAAATATAATGTTTAGTAATTTTATAAGTATACAGTCACTGCATTACATAGTATATACAATACAAACTACTTTTTTCTGTTTATTGTTTTGAGTTTATCAAGTATTAAGTTTGAATTTTTATTATGAAAAAATGTTTTGTGTTTTACTTTTTTTCATGTTTATCAAACTGTTATAATTAATTTTATATTTTTATATATCTTAAAGAAAAAAATGCATAAATTATAAGTAGGTACCTACTATGTGATATTTTATTTTGTTTTATGCTTTGTCTTACTTAGTCACATCAACATGCTTAAATGGTTTCAAAAATGGTTTGTTATGTYAAATAAAATAAAATCGACTATTAAAAAAAAATTAAATTAAAAACCGCTTTCAAAATGGTTACCGGTAACSACATTTTGGTAACCAGTAATCAAGTACCACCAATTCTAAAAAACCCGAAAACCGGTAACCCATTTTCTCGGGAGCGGTTTCAAGCCCTGGTAAATATCTATACCAATATAATAGCAACTGTTAATATTCATAATTTTGTCATTTTCTAGCTAATCAATAAAATAATTATAGGGACAAAATATGAATTTTATAAATTGTTTAATATATACGAAGTTATTGATACTGGCGTTTATTCACATATTATTAGATTATTAGATTATTTACAAAACAAACAAATATTCATGTGTATGTAGAAGTTTATTTTTATAATGGTAAAATTATGTAGTAGATTGATCAATCTTTTTTTTTATATATGAAATTTGCTATCTGTATCTACTTAATAGCACATTAAGTAAATATGAAATAAGAACAGTCAATAGACATATTTTAAGGTATTAAACATATTATAAATATTATATAAAAAATAGTTTGAATAAATTAAACATAGTAGGTACAATAGGTACATGTTACATTATAAATTAATAAATCTATTTTTTTCATGCATTTTCCCTTTAAAATTTTTAACTTTCGTTAATTCATTGGCGAGTTATAGCTGCTGAAAGTTGGGTGGTTTTCAGGTATTATACATACATACTACATAATCAGCACAGTCGCGTCTGGTGAAACACGATTGCACTCATTTTACTTTTTTACACACAAAAAACGCAACACGATTAGGTATAGCACATTTACACACAAACAGCCACCAAAATCTCCCAACTTAGAGCAGCTATATCTCATCAACGAATCAACAAAAAATTGAAACCTGAGCGTGAAAATTTATAAAAATAATAGCCTCATTAGTTTATGAATTAATAAGTAATMATTATCCAATAAACGGTCTAATTGACTGGGTATATATATTTTTTTACTATTATTTATTTTTAAAATTTTTTTGCATATTAATTAGACCGATGGATGACTCGTTGTCATTCTACAGCTTCTTCACYAGATGATGAATAATCATTTCATTTTTGCAGTTTTCGTTACACATTTCACATTATTGTGTAATGATAGAAAAACATCGCAAAATACAATACACAACACACTACCTATATTTTTCTAGTCAATCTCGACATACCATTTCCCATTTTCTTTAATTTTTTAAATTTTTTCAGTTCCATTGAATGATTTAATTAACWTAATGATAGTAGTAATAAAAAAAAATATTAGTATAGTTATAGAAGTAATAAGTTAAAAGTCATA